GTATATCAGGAAGGCTTACTGACTACTGGAGAGACCAAACTGGCCTACAAGAAAGACCAAATGAAGAACAGAATAGAGGCATGGGAAGACAAAGCACTACATGGCCAATACATTAAAAAAATAGCTGGGAAAGCAGATAATAATAAAACCTGGCAATGGCTAAGAGCAGGAAAATTGAAGAAAGAGACCGAGGGATTAATTCTGGCTGCACAAGACCAAGCTTTAAGGACAAATGCATACAAAGTCAAAATTGAGAAGACAGCAACAGACAGTAAGTGCCGCCTATGCAAAGAAGCTGAAGAAACAGTGGACCACTTGGTAAGCTGTTGCAAGAAGATTGCACAAACTGATTACAAGCAGCGGCATGACAAAGTAGCAACAATGGTGCATTGGAAGATCTGCAAAAAATATCATTTGCCTGTAAGCAAAAACTGGTGGGATCATAAAATAGAGAAAGTCATAGAAAATGATAAAATTAAACTGCTCTGGGACTTCAGAATTCAAACAGACAAGCACCTGCAACATAACACCCAGACTTAACAATTGTCGATAAGAAAGACAAAAAAGTCTGGATAGTGGATGTGGCAGTGCCTGGAGACAGCAGAATAGAAGAGAAAGAACTGGAGAAGATAACAAAATACAAAGACCTACAAATAGAAATAGAAAGACTGTGGCAAAAGCAAGCAAGGGTAGTACCAATAGTCATAGGCTCCTTGGGCGCAATCCCAAAACAACTGGAGCACCACTTGAACACCATTGGCATTGACAAATTTGCTATTAGTCAATTGCAAAAGGCGGCCTTATTAGGAACTGCTTCCATCCTGCGACGATACCTGTAATACCATCAAACATCTACTTCTGCCTATCCCAGGTCCTGGATAAGGACTCGATAGGTAGACAAAATGCCAAATCCAGTCTGAACATCTGGCTGACTGTGCGATGATTGATAATAATAATAATAATAATAGTAAAGTTGGAAGGGAACTTGGAGGTCATCTAGTCCAACCCCCTGCTCAGGCAGAAAACCCTATACCATTTCAGACAAATGGCTGTCCAGTCTCTTCTTAAAAACTTCCAGTGTTGGAGCATTCACCGCTTCTGGAGGCAGATTGTTCCACTGGTTAATTGTTCTAACTGTCAGGACATTTCTCCTTAGTTCTACGCTGCTTCTTTCCTTGCTTAGTTTCCACCCATTGCTTCTTGTCCTGCCTTCAGGCGCCTTGGAAAATAGCTTGACATCCTCTTCTACCTGGAGGAGACTGGAGCGGCAATGCCACGGTAACTTTCTCTTGATCTTTGGCCCTGCTAGGGCAATAATGGCTGCAGGCGCAAGAAGCAGGGGCAGCGGGGCTGCTGTGGGCGGGGGTGTGAGGAGCGGCAGTGGCCGGCTGCTCCCCGTGCTGTGGGAGCCGCGGGGCCTGCTCTACATGGGGCTGTGCAGAGCAGGCGGTGGTGCTGGCGGGGCGGCTGGAGGCAGGGTGTGTTGACGGCTGGCTGCCCTCCAGGTCCAGAGCCAGAACAGCTGGTGCTTTGGGAGCTGCAGGGCCCGCTCTACATGGCGGGGCAGCAGTGCTGGCAGGGCGGCTGCGGATGGGGGCGTGGCATGTAAGCATAATTACAATATAAAATGTTATTGTTACAAATGTTTTTATTATGCATTTATCATATTATAGTGTATTCTGTATTATTGTTGCAATGAATAAAATGTTTCTTTTATTTACAATATTTTTTTCTTCAATTTATTTGTGTCCTCCTTTTCATTGTAAAAAAGTTGGTCACCTTAGAAACACAAAAAAGCAGGAATGCAGATGTGTGAACAAGAATCTCATTAATGGGCTAGACATTAAAAAGGACATTAAAGTGCCCTTTGAGTGTTTGAAAGCTAGCTATGTATAGGCTCTAAATCAGGGGTAGTCAACCTTGGCTCTTTTATGACTCGTGGACTTCAACTCCCAGAATTCCTGAGCCAGCATGGCTGACTCAAGAATTCTGGGAGTTGAAGTCCATGAGTCATAAAAGAGCCAAGGTTGACTACCCCTGTTCTAAATGAATGTTGTGCTCAATCAGAAACTATTGGGTATCTATTATGTCAGGATCTGTTTTGTGATTCCCAGTTTAGATAGGCCAAACATTTTGTTTTCTGATAGTTTTGAGCAGAAGGTTTAATGGGCAAAATGGGAACCACAAGGCTTGTGGGTGTTCAAGGGACACTTTTCAGTCTTTCAGACTTCTGAAAGTTGCTTTGTCCATTGCTCATTTTGGAAAGCCCTTGAAATGCTATGCAAAATCTGTATTTGGCCTTAAACCAAGAGAAATGGTACAGTTGTCATGATAACCCAGTTTATAATTGTGCAGTTGTTATTTGAGAGGATGTGCTTATATATAAATTAAGGTTTGCCCACAGTTGCTGCCATGCAGAAAATGTCTTAACTACACTTGTAACTGTTTTAATTGATTAACTGAACTGATTAGAAAATTTTTTGGACTTTACTTCTCTGCAAATATTAACCACAGGGTTTTGTAAACTAAACTTTGAGTTTCTGGCTTGTCTTTTTCATGTGTACATTACATGTCTGCTCTAATATTTGAAATGGGCCTTAGTATTAACTTGCAGAAAGCCATGGTTTATGTAAACATGATTTGCTGAGAAAGCCACAGTTGATGGGGATCACACAATACCCTTAGCCAAAACAAAGCATGTTATACCTTAAGGATCTGTGTGAACATAGTTAATCCTTGACTTGTAGAGGAGTGAATGGAACAATTCCTAAAGATGGATGTCCTTGACCATGAGAGATAAATGGCATCTTTTCAAAAGGCCCAAGACAGCACAATATATTTTCAGTTAATCTAGGATTTCTACTTGGGGGGAAAAGAGCTAAATCATTTCATCCCCTCTATACTACTACTCCTTGTGACTCTGGATTCAGTTCGTACTCTGGAGCAGGAAAATGAAAGAAAGGAAGAGCCAGGGAACTCCAAGGTCATGGCCATAGTGATCTGATATTACAGGTAGTCTTTGACTTATCACCACAATTGACCCCATTATTTCTGTTGCTAAGTGAGACATTTGTTAAGTGAGTTTTGTCCCATTCTATGACCTTTCCTGCTAAGTGAATCACTTAGTTGTTGTTAGTACAGATAGTCCTCGACTTACAACAGTTCATTTAGTGACCATTCAAAGTTACAACATCACTGGAAAAAGTGAGATGTTGTAGCATCCCCATGGTCACATGAACAAAATTCAGACAGTTGACAACTGACTCACATTTATGATGGTTGCAGTGTCCTGGGATCACGTGATCACCTTTTGTGATCTTCTAACAAGCAAAGTCAACGGGTAAACCAGATTCTCTCAACAAACATATAACTAACTTAACAACTGCCATGATTCACTTAACAACTGTGGCAAGAAAAATCATAAAATGTGGTAAAACTCACTTAACAAATGTTTCTTTTAACAATATACATTTTGGAAAATTGTAATCGTAAGCTGAGGGCTACTTATAACATGGTTGTTAAGTGAATGTGCCTTCCCCATTGACTTTGCTTGTCAGAAGGTTACAAAAGGTGTTCATGTAATCTTGGTACACTGAAACCATCATAAATGTGAGTCAGTTGCCAAGCACCTGAATTCTGATCAAGTGACCATGGGGATGCTGATTTGACCATGGTTGTAACACCCAGAACGGAGTTCCGACACCTTTTTTGGATGGAACCTTGTAGGGTAGGCAAGGCAGGTTGTATGACGTGTGAGTTCCGGCACCTTTTTTTTTTTTTTAGAAAAAAAGCACTGGTTGTAAGCGTGAAAAATGGTCATAAGTTACTTTTTTCAGTGCCATTGTTATTCCAAAGGCACAGAGAGATGAATTAGAATTAACAACAGGCATATTCTCAGTCTGTTTTCCTAGGAAGTGTGGGAGGCTATGGGTGATTTGTCCCAAATCCAGGCTAAAGTGATTGAGATAAACAGTCATGAACATCCACATCTGCACAAAATCTTACAGTATTGCCCACCTTGGGGTGGGCAGCATAGCTGGTGAAAACCTTTAGATCCAGGACATGAGTTTTCAGGTGAGGACCGTGGAATTGCAAGACCATTCCACCACCTTTTCCTGGATTTGTCCAGTCAGCCTTTCTTAGCTAGCTCAAATAAACCAAGACAGATAAGGGTCAAGTAAGTATGTGATGATGCAGCAGCGATAAGTAGTTATAGCCTCAAAGCTGAAAATGTTCCCATACAATTAGAGCAGATGGTGGATGATTTCCCACCACAGTACAACTGCATTAAATGCAGTATTCAGGTCGGTATGAAGTCAGACAAAAAAGGGCATGCATGTTTCTCAGTGGGTCTTTGAGAACTCCAAAAATGTTTTTTGAACAGTGCTTGAACATCCTAGAGGCTGCTTGAGCAGCTATTTGAGAATTTAATGGAAGTCATCAAGATAATTTTTCAGTGTTGAAGATTATTACATTTCCTGATTGAATATCTATGGAAATTCTCAGTCATCCAGATCATAGTTAATCCAAAAGGTGCTTTTTCATGAGACAATTAGACTTTCTTGTTTTTTCTTTGAAGACATTTTGCTTCTTGAATGACTACAGTTTCATCACTGTACAGGATTATTACAGTTTGAGATAGGGTTGGGGGCAGATTTACTATGTAATTGTAGGTTACCCCGTAATATTGTTTCATCATAAGTGCTCCTGTGCCACATTTCAAAATGTGGTATTAACAATCATTCCTTTCTAAGATTTTGCTTCTTTATTTTACAAATCAGGATCTTATCCCATTTATGTAATAGTAAAAGTACAGTTCTGTTTCTTTCCACTTTTCCCCTAGTTTTCTGTCATATTTAAATATAAGGGTCAATTCTTTGCCGTGTCAATATTTTTCCACTGAAATGGTTTATGTGGTTTCATTGTATTCTTCACACAATTACAAAATATAGAGAGCCTTCCTTTTTATTTTGTAAAATAAGTTAAATAGACCAGAAAAATTTATTAGAGTGAATCTGTTTATTTTATTTAATAGATAGGTATCACTCAGTTGCATTCAGATAGTAAAGAAACAAACACACACACATACACACATATAATAAGTTTGAGGTATATATTGTTTTGGAAGTTGGATTAAATTTTAGGACTCTTATCACTAGTCTGTTTCTACTGGCCGAATTTTCATTTGTACAACTTTGAGAGAATAATCTGTTGGCCTAAAGGGCAACCAAATCACTCCATTTTCAATCTCGTAAGGAACATTGTTCCTTGGATCATACTGACCACCTGAGTAGTAAATACCATTGAGATTAGCAGCTTGACAGTTGTTATACCACCAGCCACCTCCATACACCTCAGCACAATTCTCCTCCCACCGATCATTGTCTCGATCATAAGTACTAAATTTCATGTTAGTGTGAGCTGTATATTCAATGCCATCTTCCTCTGATCCTTTGATCAGGGCATCCCCTGCCGTCCCTTTATAATTCGAGACTCTGAGTCTATAACCTTCTGATTCAGAATCTATGTGTATATTATATTCTGCATAAACTTTATCACCCTCCCAATCTTCTAGTTCAATTCGAAGGACAGTATCTTTCTGGGTCAGGATATGGAGGTTTTCATTGCCCAACCAGAATTCTCCCCTCCCTTTGACATCCAAACTGCCAAAACCTTTCTTGTAGTCTTCCCAGGTCCGGTTAAAATTCAATGACCCATCCAATCTCTGTTGGATCAGAAGCCATCCTCCCAAAGTAGTCTCTTGGTCGCAATAAACTGAAAAAACCTTAGCGGATCCTGCTGGCGTGATTCTGAAAATGCCACTTTGGGCATCAGAAGTGTGTTTTTGGTGGATATCCTCACAGTCTAAAAAAACAAAGTTGATCAAGTTGACAGAAGTTTTCAGTTAAGTTTTATTACAAGCTCTCAGGTATCCAATAGTAATATTGCTGAAGTCAACTGTCTACACTCAATGTTGTGCTACATGAAAAGACATTTTGCATTATACCCCCACCTGAAAGGAACACTTATGTTTAAATTTATTACCACTGGCATTCTGTATGGAACTGCCTTGCTAACCAATGTTTCATGATAAAAACTCAATATACCCCACCTTTCTTAAATGGCAACAAACAGACACATGGCTTTTATTAACTAAACAATGTCATGGATTGCAGTATTTGTGTCAGTTTGGTTGCAAACTTCATTTTTGCTCCCTCCACAATTATTTTCCATGAACTGGATGGATACCTTTCCCGATGTTGCCTTTCCCAAGCTTCTCCTCTGCATTCAAGCTTTGTTCTTCTAAATCTGTATTACGCTCTGCATTTTCATCATGTTGTAATTCTACAATATGACTTGATTCATAGGTTCTTCTTGACTTGGTCTCTACAATTGTCTTGGTATTGCTTTCGTGAGACAAACGGTCTAATCTTGAGAAGTCATCAAAGTCTTCCTCCCCTATTTCTGAGAAAGTTTCCCCTTCCTGTACTTTTTTTGTGTGGCTGAATGATAGGGTTCCGGAATCTGCATCTGGATGTTGGGGAACAAAGTCATGAGAGCCACTTCCCCCACTTCCACTACTGATGAAAGGTTGCAAATTAGAACAATCTGAACCATCAGGAGTTTTAAATTCTTCAACTGTCTCTTCTCTTAAGCCATCAGGACCACGAATGACTTGTTTAGTGATGGTTCTGATACATGTATGGCTGGTATGAACATCAGTAGATGGTCTTATTATTGCTTTGTTTGTAGATGGTTTTCCAGCTACCTCTGTTCCAGGAATACCATATGTTTTGTCTGGTAAGGATCCTTTAGAATCTTCCAATACTACTTTAAACACCTTTATACTGTCAAGTATACTTGCTTCCTGATCAGTAAGAGGACCAGATTTATAGTGACTGGGAGCAGTAGAATCCTTCACTTGTGTTATTTTCAGTGACTTGAGGGGAACAGCTTCCTTTTCTGATTCAAATTTGATGGTATTAACTTGTACGAGCTGCTTCTGTATGTTTCCATAACTCTCAGTGTCCAGATTGTAATTGAAAATACGAGCACAAGATCCTTTGCAGGCACGTATTTTAATATCAATGTCCACCTAAGCCATGAGGATTTGGAGAAAAAATATAGACATTTGTAAGTAGACTTTGATTCCTAAATATCTCAGAGTTGTAACGCTAGTTACTGCCACATAACATTAAAAATAAGGAACTCTTGTCAAGCCATTGCTGATTGTAACTCCACTGCTACTTGAAGTGAGGCCAAATTCTACCGTAAATTTAGATGGGCCGTCTGCAGCCATTGAATTATATGTGGCCTTTGGCTTCACTTCATATACCCTTGATATAATTTGAAAAGTCCTCTGCAAACAGATTGCAAATTTTTAATATCTTTTCCCTGGTAGTCGGTTATAAAGTTTTAAAAGGAGAAGAGACTATAGCCCATCCATGTTTGTGGTGATTCAAATTTTTGGTCTTACCTACCAACGGATTATTTAACATAGCAAAATAACATAGTCAAATGTTACTGCTGTAAAACAGGAAGGAAGGAAGGAAGGAAGGAAGGGAGGAAGGAAGGGAGGGAGGGAGGGAGACCGTCCATCATACAAACAATTGTTTTCTAATCACACAATGGTTGCTGAAACTGCCTTATTCATTAAAACATATAATTGATAAAAAGGAGCATAGGCAGATATTTGCTCCAGTGTTTTTAAAAAGATACGTCTTTTTAAAAAAAAAAAAATAACACAACTCACCTCTAAACGTTTCAACTCTCCAACCTGATTCTGGATTGAATTCTGCAAGGTTTTAATCCTCTCAACTTTATCAGCAACTCTCTGTTTCAGTGTCACCAATCTCCTTCTTAGATCATCAGATATTTGCCCATAGCTCTTATCTAATTCTGAAATAAAAGAGATTAGCATAGCCATAGCCCTTTATACAGTGTAAGTGATCTAAAAATATGCATTAACCAAAACTACACAACCTTCCTAGTTTTATGTCTTTAAAATTAGAAGGAATCATCTGTATAATAGTCAGTAGTACTCTATATGTCTTTATAAGATTGGATAGAGATTTAGAGATAGAATACTATAGCTTCAATTCCTCCTTAATGTACTTTCCTCTCCCTTCTACATTTTCTTTTACAAAAATTTCTCTGTTAGGAAGGAATGAGTTCATTCCATTCTCTTCTACCTTTTTTCTTAGTCTATCACCTCAAAAAATTGTATCCCACTCACTGTGGTCCCAATTAATGTTGGAATTGCACATTTATTTCTGTTTAAGGTGCAGCTTATCAAATAATGAGTAGGTAGGTTAGAAATAGAGCATATTAAGCATGCATAATTTGGAATGGGATTTCCTGCCTTTCTCATTAAACCCAATACTAACCCAGGTATTCCAGAGATGGCAGCGGAAAATAAATATATTGGTCTGAAAGCATGACAAATAATTTTCAAAAGGGAAAGTGAAAAAATAATGTACTGGAAGATTTTGTTAAATAATTGGTGAAAACGTTTGTTATGATTTGCAAGAACCTAAAATAGCCCAGAATGAGATAATAATGCTTTTTACCAATTTATGTCAAATAGCTTTAATCCTGTGGTAAAACAAGTATGTTTTTTTAAAGAAACAGCTAACAGTATTTAAATTCAATTTATTTTATGTGCCAGCCTTCCCAGTTTGCTTTTCAGACCCATTGAGGTTAGAGAATTCAAGGAATTTTAGATACCTTTACATTTCATGAGCATTTTATAAATCTTCATCTAACTGGAATTAAGCTTACCTTGTTCACTGGGCAGATATCTTTCCAGATAGTTAAAAATTTCTTGTTTCAAAATATTGGATGACTTGTAACTACTTTGGTTATCCAAAATCGCCTTCTTAATCTTTTCTATCCTGTTTTGAAAATCATAATTTGTTTCATCTACCAGTCCTTGAATCCTGCAACCTGAGGGACATTTAGTTCCCTAAGTAACAGAAACAAAGTAAAAGGATACATAAAATAATTGACAAATAATTGATAACTTTTCAGATGTTACAAATCACAGTATAGATAGTCCTCAAGTTACAAACACAAGTGGAACCAGAACTTTGGATGCTAAGCAGTATGGTTAAGTCACTCATGTGAATCCAGCTTTAGACTGACATGTGCACTCAGTCATTGTGGTTTACTATGGCTTACTATATTTTGTGTGATACAAGCTGTGGTTAAAACCTCTTGTACAGATTTGTATAATTATCTATGCACATTTACTCAAAAGCAATTCCTTTTTGTGCAACCTTTTGTGACTTCATTATCCTTTCGCTAATTCATAAATTCATATTTGTGTGGAAAAGTACAAGTCAATATGACTTTGTCATGTGGTGAGTATTTTTTAAAGTTCTGCAAAAAATCTAAAAATCTACTTTCTGGTTAGTTATTTATTTTGTATTCTGGAAATGAAAATGGTTATAATATCCATGATGGGACAATCCAGAATAAATAGACTTATTAAATTCCATTTATTTCTTCACTTATGTGGCAAAGAATGTATTATACTCCAGTTTTTGTTCTGGAGTAATTAAATTAACTCATTTGCTTCTTTGCTAGTTCTCACAAAACACTTATCAGCCGGTGCCCAGGTTAACCGTGTTGCAACTGGCTCTTAGGAAAGTGAGCAGAACTGTGGCCTGAACTGTTCCTGATCAAGCCATTTCTTAAAAATGTTTCTTTAATACTTTGTTTAACTTATAATAACATTTGATTAACTTAGAATAACATTTTCCAACCAGGAGCTTTCTATAGGAGCGGATAATTACTCCCCCCAAATATAATATATATATATTATATCAATGAACTGGATATTCAAAGTAGTTTTTTTGTGGAAACTACTGAATTATAAATGTGCTTCTCCGCTGTATCTAGCCTATTATATCTAATATATTACAATGAGGGAAATAGCTGTTTTGCATGAAAAACACCATGATTAGTCTGCCATTGGCGTTTTGTTCTCTGTTGGCTTACCCAATCGTCATCAATACATATTGGCCAATCCTTATCAGATTTGCAGTCAGATTGAGTTTTATGCTCTACTATTCTGGAACCACGCCCTGTTGCTCCATGTTCTTGAAAGGAAGACACATTACTTGTCCCCTGTCATGAAATAAGTAAAGAAGGATAAAAAAGACCCAGTTAAGGCTGAAATTTAAGATTGAACAGTAATAATTCCTTTCATAAATAATCCATATCCCTAGTATTTGCTAAAAAATAATCATCAACTACATTTAGACACTTGCTTCAAATTACTGGACTATTTTTTTTTAACAAATAGGTCACAATCGTTCAAAGAAACAAAGCCCATGAAGTCTCAAAGAGAGAGCCCATCTCTGACAATAAGTACCTACTTCCATACTCAATATGGATTGAGTAATTATTTTCACTACTCGTGTAATGTATTGAGTTGAATTTATGAAACAGGTTACCGAAGAGCTGTGCAGGAATCGTTAGCAGACCATGTGGCCTGCCAGCCAGACTTGCTGTCTACAAGACCAATTAGTATGCATTTGAGCGGGAGAATACTGTGTTTTCATTGGCTGACGCTGCCCAAAGCTGAATGTATAAATAGGGGTGGAGCAATGCTTGTTAGTTTTCTGTTTTGACCTTCAATAAAGAAGTACTTGTTTCTATTGCTGCCTCTTCAATGCTGAACCAAGCAGAAAACAGAACAACTCGAATCCTAAAAAAATAAAATAAAAAAAAATCCCCTTTTCCTACAAATAGATGACATTACATTAGATTGCTTGATTAGGACCCATGGAAGTACACATTAACATCTAATCAGGATTAATTTAAATCCCACTGATTTCTATAGCATTTCAATGTAGTTCTCTTCTTTGGGTTCAGGCCATAATGCTTAAGTGGTAAATTAGCATGTTACAAAATATATTAAACCTTATGAGTTAGATATTGAAATTAGCAATTGCAATACAGATTGCAGTACAAGTATGTCAGTTTAACTCGACTCTTCATTTAATTAGAAGACATATTTTAATTGCTGTCATGGGACTTTAAATTGTGAAGAGAATGGATTGCTATACAGTACAGAGAATTCTTCCTTAATATTAACTATTACAGTAAAAATAGAAAAACAGAACATTAAATGAAGAACAGCTTTCTATGTTTTGATGGTGACTACATCAAAATGCATATGAACATCAGAATTGTTACAGTATTGCTAGAATATAGTTTATTTCAAATACAAAATGATCTCTAACTTCAATCCAAAGAATTTCAAAATACTATTATAAAAATGGCTTATAATACAAACCATGGCATCACAAACTACTCTTCACTGGGACAATTCCTAGACCTGTGTTATTTTTGATGTAAATATATGAATACAATTATTGGATTATTGATAACAAATGATTAAAACTAAAATAAAAGATTAAAATCAGCAATACTCTTATCAGTCTTGTTCAAACGTTATCAGAGATTACAAAGTAATCAATGAATCAGTGAATGCTAACAATGCTATATCTCATGAGACCTGGACTTAAACAGTGGCTGTTGAAATGACTGTAATATGCTGTCTACCTGAGTTTTATTGTCCCAGCTTTTTTGTTTAGAATATAGCAGAAATCTTTGAAATCAATGGGACTTCTAAGTTAATCCTGTATAGTTTTACAATATTACTTTTACAGTAATGCATTTATAGTTAAGTACCCCTGTGTGAGCCTGACCTCTGATAATTATATGAACAAATGTAAGCACATTAAAAGATTTTTCTTTACTAATATTATAGATACCATAACACATTCAAACATGTCATCTGGATTTTGTATAAAAAATATAAGGGAAAGGCATATGAATAAGCACCCACTGTTTCTAATCAAGCAAGATGATAAACAGACTTTGTGAGCATTTAAAAACACAAAGACACATCGGGGTATATGCTGCATCACAAAATTCTTCTGGGTACCCTTCAACTCTCCAGAGATTGACTTACTTACTACATGCAAGTCATTGAACATAAGTAGGAGCTAAATGTGGCACTGAGAGTTTTGCCCATGTGCAAACAAAAGTAAATACAAATTTTATCAACAAACTTGCAAGTTGGTCCAAGAATTACACCACCCTTAAGAGAATATTTGAAGTGGAAAAGCTTGTTCTTGATCATATTACCATGTATTTGATAGTAAGGGATAAAATATGTTGCTCCTTAAATAGGCAAGTAATAAAAGGAGCACAACCAGTAAAGAAAGAACTATATAAAATAGATTCATACCAAGGCGATGCTGAAGGACAGCAGTGCACAAAGAATTCTGAGCTGAAACATCTTCAGAGAGGTATGAAGGTGGCACAAAGGAATCCCCTTCACTTAGGCATTTTGAGTTGTATTTCAACCTTTGTTTTGTCAATCCCCCTCCTCTTCCTTCATTAATGATTACTTTCCTTCTGTTTACAGAGGCATATTGCAATCTCTGAGTTCAGTGACTGAGCAGCTCTTGCACAAGCTCTCCAATTTGTTTTTTGACACTCTAGTTGCTCAATGCTAACAAACATGGAAGACAAGCCAACCACATTCCTGGAACTGAGATTGTCTAAAGGTTGAAATGGGTCATTTCAAGATAAATTTTTAGAGAGGAATCCAACATTAAGCACAAAGCAAATGTAATGACAAACAGATGCTGTTTCCTGAATTACAGGAATATATTGCAAAAGATATGTTCTCAACCTTTTATATCTCATTGTAATGTCTAAATTTAAGAGATCTCCGGAAGGGAAAAATATTTGTACAAATTTTGGAGGATTTACCTACACCATACCTTTTGTCTGTCTGTCTCCCCCCCCCTCTCCTTACCCCATCATATGATACTATGATGAAGGAGGTGAAAACACACAAGTTTCTAAATAGAACCTTTTTTGAGGGGGATCTTTTCAATGCTATTTCAGAATAACAAGGATCAATTTAACATGAAATTAAAAAAAGTTAGATATCTGGGGCGGGAGTTAATTTACCACCCCCCCCCCTGAGACTGGTAAAATGGAGTCAAATCTAACTACACCTGAGCTAGCTAAGTAAATTATTTGCAAGAACCAGAAACATGTTTTTATATTTCCCATGCAGCCCAATTACGTTTGGCACATAAATAGGATTGTTTCCATTTCTATTCATATTGACATACTTTCCTACCTACCCCAAAGGTGCTTTTCAAAAGGCAATAGGACTTTCTTTGTTTTGTTCTTTGAAAACATTTCACTTCTCATTCAAGAAGCTGCTTTAGTTCTGACTGAATGGTGGGGAATGGAAGCATTTATAATCATTGCAGTCATCTGAAGGTCAGCATTTCACGATCTGAAGGTCAGTAGTTAAGCTGTTTGAGAGTTGTTGAAGCCACATTGGTGAAATATCTGAAAAGCTCAGGAGGATTTTCTTTTTTTTTAAAAAATGTTTTTTTACAATAACAATCTCCAGTGCCTGGTGTACAGCGTGATATTTTGGTTTATATATTTGAAAAAAAAAGCAATAATAATTAATTAACAGTCAATGATTGATTTTGATAATTCCATAATTAGTATATCAATTAATGATATATTTCTTTGATCTTCCCTTCTCCTTCTTCAACTTTAAACAAATATAATTCTTAATATTTTCAATGTATACATTAAATAATAGACATTTTTCATATTTGTACAGATAATGATAACATCTACGTATAACATTTTTAATCAGCTTATATTATTCTTATAAAAATCATCTCACCATGCATCCTATTTTTGTGATTTTTGTTTAAGCTTAATTTCCCCTTTATATTCAATCCATTCTTATCAATCATGATTCTCTCAATGCTAGTCATCTAAGTATCCAATTTTTTCCATTTAAGTACACCATCCCACTATTTTCATATTTCATGCACTATAAAAATACTGTACTTATCTATCTTATAGCATCTGCGTATAACATCCTTTCTGATCAGCTTATAACTCACTTATATTTATAAAAGTTACATCATCCCAATATTTTTACATTTCATATAACAATCCAGGTATTCTTCTTTCAGACACTTTTTAATCTTATGGCTGGTCCAGCTCTTTCTTTGTTCCTAACTGTCTTCTTGAAGATTATTTAAAGTTCAAGGGAATAGATTATTCTTTGTTTCTATGTGTCCTGCCAATTTCTGAGTCATTATTATTAGTGTTCTGTGCTCTGATTCTCCACTAGGTATCAGTATTGTTTATTTTTCCAGTTTTTTCAGACAAAAAGTTATTATTGTTATATATTTTTTAATAATTTCATCAAAACCCTTTAGGGTATAGTCCAGGGGTAGGCAACCTCGGCTCTTTTATGACTCATGGACTTCAACTCCCAGAATTTCTGAGTCAGCATAGCTGATTACCATATCAGCTCATATCCATGAGTCATAAAAAGGCCGAGGTTGCCTACCCCTGGTATAGTCTTAATAGTTTTTTTTAGTTTCTAGATTTGTCCAGACTGTAGTATTTTAAATTTAATTTCAATATATTTCTTTCCCCCTTAGTATTAATTTGCCGCTTCCATCTATGAGGGAGTGAGGATGTAGTCCCCTCCCTTCACTTTTGGAGGTTTTTTTTTTTTTTTTTTTTTGCTTTAGGGGTCTTTCCCAAGGATTCAGTTAAAAGATAGAAGAAAGAAATCAATGCTCTCACCAGTTCCAAGCACGTTGTTCACTGATGTCCTGGTTTGTGCTCTTGGACTTTGGCTGCAAAATAGCTTGGGCTTATGTACAGCTAGCTTTTCTCCTGTTGGGTCGGAGGGCTTCCCTTGGATCAAACGGAATGACTGCCATCATTTCATGATCAGTGGGGTGCCCTCCTTCATGGTCACCTCTTTGGGGCAACTTCAGACCCATTTAGGGTCCCCCTGGCAGGGCGAAACTGGCCTTGGGGAGCAGAGCTCTGCTATCCCGCAGCCGTGCGCTATGGTGCAAAACCATAAGATTCTCAGTAGGATTTTCAACCAAGGCAACATATGTACACACTTCAAACCCAAGAATATACTAAAGCAAAGATTGTCCACTCCAAGGATAAAACATCCAAACTGAGCAATGTGACATATGCAGTACTTTGCAGTGAGTCAGTTTCAGAAATATTAAAAAGTAAAGGTTTCCCTTATCAGTCATTCCTGACTCTAGGGCGTGGTGCTCAAGTATTGTCCAAAGACACTTCTGTGGCTACCAGTATGTGGCTAACATGACTATATGCAGGGCACACAGATCACTCTTACCTTCCTACCAAAGTGATGCCTATTTATCTACTTGCATTTGCATGCTTTCAAACTGAGAAGTTGGCAGGAGCTAAGGAAAGTAATGGAAGCTCACCCTGTCACATGTTACTTAGGTCTTGAACTGCCAACCTTTAACATATGTCCAGTTAATAATTCCAGCAGTGTATCATGTCACAGGTATGACCTAGATTTTGATGACTTTAATGGTGTTTCCACAGTTCAATTTTATCTTTAGCATTTTTCTCACTATTTGGATGCATTCTTTGCTAACCATATTTCTAACTTGTCTGTGTTTGAGCACCGCCCCCTATAGTCAGGAATGACTGATAGGGGAAACCTTTATCTTTTAATATTTCTGAAAGGACTGTTTGAACGTCATGAATTTAGTCTACCTAGCCTTGTAGTATCAATGCTAATACTGATAATAGATGTCCAGCTGGTTAGAGTCAGGTATAATCTATGCTTTGATGACTTCTTCTGCTCCAAGCTTTTGTTCATTTCTTTGATGGTAAAGGTTATTCTATATCAGAAACTTGATTTTTAAGGGATTTCAGACTGCCATTGTTTGGGATTTAATAAACAAGATACTATTATCTGCTGCCATTAATGATAGGCATAACATACTGTTGAAAAATGACTCATTAAAAGCAGGATTAGGAAGACAGCAGCTCTCTAAATTTGTTCCTTACAGACCCAGCAAAAAAATCTAAGAGGAAGCTGAAAGCCAATATTTGGGATAAGATAGATTAGTCCTAGCCCTGTTTTTTTTTTTTAAAGGTATATGATATGTTAATTTCATTTCATATCAAGGACACTATAGAACAACCATTTAACATATGTTGGGTTTAAAGTGGCCTATTAATATGGTACTATTAATATTTATAATTTTAGTAGCTTAATGCTCTGTTCAAAACAATTTTGACCTGATAAAAGTAAATTTAAATCTGTCAAGTCCAGCATGCTTCTTTCCACATCATCACTTGGATGGTTTCTGCATTGTTTGCAGAATTATTTCTTTTGCCCTATATTTAATCAATTTCATATTCTATTAACATGGAGAAGAGGTATATATTGTTCCTCCTCATGACGATGCTAAAATGATGAAATGTGCTTTGATAGCACAAGTAACTTTCTTTCACATTTCCGCTGCAATATTCCATGAAAATATATAATGCATGGCGCATGCATCTCAATGAATATTTTTACATTTGTCCTCTTTGCCTCTCCACTATAAAAGCCTTTGGACAGTCTACTCTTACCTTACCATGTACAACTAACTATACAGCCCTCATGTTCCTTAGCTTAGTTGTTCCTGTGAACAAAGACTTCCAATACTGCAGTTTTTTCCTTTTAGAATAGGTGTCCAGATCTTTGATTACTGTCTGAATTGAGGCAATCAGAAAATTAGCTTTCAAAATGTATTGTACTTTTCTACCACAAAACCCACGATTAGTAGTATTTTTATGTTCATACTCTTTCCTAATGATCTGTAGCTTCACATGAAGTTGCTTAATGAGCTGATTGTCTATGGAGATTCTCAGTCATAGAGAAGGACTGAGATTATGGTTGTCCCAAAGATGCTTTTTCAAAAGATAACTAGACTTTGTTTTTCCTTGAAGATGTTTTGCTTGTTACACAAGAAGCTTCTTCACTTCAGTGTTAGTGAGCTAATACTTCTACTTATATGTTAACTATTCACTGTAGTTCTAGGATATTTTTGCTTAAGCCTAACTATGTGGATGGCATTTCTGTATCGTATGTAAGCATAAGAGCCGTCGTGGTGCAAAAGAGCCATCGTGGTGCAGTGGTTAGAATGCACTATTTCAGGTTAATTCTGCAATAGCAGAATTCTGACAGCAGTTTGATGCTCACCAGCACAAGGTTGACTCAGCCTTCCATCTTCCCGATATTGGTAAAATGAGGACCCAGATTGTTGGGGGCAAATATGCTGACTGTCAATGCTGCTAACATCGGATGTTCTTGCTTTGACAACATATGGAGATGCAGCCATGTTTTATTCTTAGAATTAGAGTTGGAATTAGATGATGCTGGGGGGGGGGGAGGAATGTTTATGGGAGTTAGTTAGACATAACAGTATTGTAACAGTGTGAGAACCAAGATTTTTTGAAATAAGAGATGATAAGAAATGGTGGGCTGGAG